TGTACGTGCACACGCACACACGCACGCACGCACGCACGCACGCACGTGTAAGTTCAGACGAACGCACGCACGCACGCACGTGTACGTGCACTACATAAACAGCACTTTCTATCAGAACATGTGGTCATTCATCTGTAAATGTCAAGCAGCATGCTTCGCTTTTGCCAACCACAACACATGTATAACAACTACACGTGACCTGATCTATGACGTCACGTAAAACATCGCTATACACTTTCGAATGTCTACGATGCACTGTTGCAATTTTTTCCCTTTTTCCTCTTTTTCCCCCTTTTTCCGATTTTTTCCTTTTTTCCCCTTTTTCCCCGATTTTCTCCCTTTCTTTATCAAAACTAGACTCGGACTCGGACTCGGACTCGGACTCGGACTCGGACTCGGGTGGTGCGGACTCGGACTCGGACTCGGACTCGGGTGGCGCGGACTCGGACTCGGGTGGCGCGGACTCGGACTCGGACTCGGGGGGGTGCGGACTCGACTACAACACTGGCAGAAAGCAATGGGACAGAGGTGATCTAGTAGATCATCTACATTGAGAAATACACTTCACATAATACAATTTATTTCCATTCTCCATTTCATCCTTTTACAGCTATTATTATATAGTCTCACCCTATTCCAGCATAATGCAATAGTTTGGACCTCAATAATATATGGAAAATTTGGTACAAATTCCCGGATCTAATACTGAAAATTTCTAGCTATGGAAGCCGAGGATTAAAAACGGAAAATAGTGCACTCCCTCCCTCCTGCTGATAGTACACGTGCCAGTACGGCTGATAGGGTCTATGTCCCCCAGGGTACTGCCGGAACGTACCCTGGGTACGGTCCGATATACCGGAACGTACCCTGGTACTAAATACTACTATCTATAATATGCCGGACCGTACCTCGCCTACTCCCTAACCCTAACCATATCAGCTAGATAGTTACCAGGGTACGTTCCGGCAGTACCCTGGGGGACATAGACCCTATCAGCGCATGGGCGCAACCACTGGTGGGGGGGGGGTCACGACCCCTTCCCCGACTTTTATGTGGACCTCCCCAACTTCTGGAAAACCTTATTTTCTGGGAGGTCCAAAATGGTCCGATAAGCGTTTATTATCGTGAAACATCCATATTTCACAGGTGAAAGACCCCAGGTGGTCAAGTGCAGTGTGATAACTGTGATTCAGATTCAGATATCTATATAAAACCCTTGTTAATATCATTTAGATTCGACCTACATAGTACATTAAATCTCACGTGCATGGAACGAGCACGATATTCACCACGCGTTCGCAAGCCAACTGTGTTATAGACACACACACAAAATATTGGCCAATCTTCACACAAGCGGCGCGTCGCGGCGCGGCACCGTTCATCCTTCATACCTTCTAATCTATGATATCTTCTGGCGCAGTCTCCACTGACACTGCACGGCGCAGGCCTGGTTTCACGGCGACGGCGAAAGTTGCCGGCTGATGTGACGGCGAAAAAACAATTAATTGAACCAATCAACGCGATTGTTTTTTATTACGTGTTCTGAAATCGATATTGAAGCAATTGCAAAGGATTTTGTTGCAAAGTGTGACTCAAGGAAGGTCACATTTGGTTTCTAACACTGTTCTCTGTTTTCACGTGGCAGACATTTTTTGCATTATTATTTTCCTCTTCATCTTAATCATGCTAACTGTGTCACACAGTTAGCACAGTCTGGGTGTAGCTTTACTACTAGCTTAATCTAATTAATAAACCCTTTTGGTATTTTCTGTATACATGATCCTAGTAATGTCATTCATGACATCACAATTATGCAACACTTCCATCAACACGCTGAAATACGTGATACAGTAAAAACCCGCGTATAAGAACATAGATTTTTCCAAGTTAGCCTCAATATGTTCTTATGTAAATGGTGCTTACTGAAAAATTAGGCTCAAAAGGTTCTTAATACTAAACCCCTCTACAGGTATGTGGTTCAGGCACGCTGATACAAGGCACAAGCAGCAAATAGCAACGGTGATCTGCGGTGCGACAGCGAATACGAGTAAAACCCGAGTATAAGAACATAGAACGCTGTTAGGCTTCAAAATTTCCGCATTTAGGACCCTTTACATAAGAACGCTGTTTTAGGCCTAAGAATTTTAAAGTAGGTTCTTTTAAGTTTTCCATGCAGATGAAGACTTAAAGAAGAAAAACAGGTAAAAATAAAAAAGAGAGCTCAACAAATACCGATGAATGCGTGCCAGCACATTTTTTTGGCACGCATCTCAAAATTTTTTTTTGCTTGGGGCGGTTCGTTTCGAACCCCCCGAACCCCCCCTGGCCTACGCGGCCTGTATCATACAGTATGGTAAGCCACACTGAAAAACTTACACTGGTAGCCCATTCATGGGTATTAATGTAGCAAAAAATTGCAGTCCTCTGCTAAGAAAATTTTAACACAATTTGATATCAAGTATAAAGCTGTATACATATTAAAAAGCTGAAACAATAAGAACCTTTTAGCCTAATTTTCAGTAAGCACCATTTACATTAAGAACATATTGAGGCTAACTGTGGAAAAATCTAGTGTTCTCATTACGGCCGGGTTTTTACTGTATCACGTATTTCAGCGTTGTGAGGGAAGCTGTTGCATAATTGTGATGTCAATGAATGACATTACTAGCGATCATGTATACAGCAAAATACCAAAAGGCCGTTTATTAATTAGATTAAGCTAGTAGTAAAGCTACACCCAGACTGGTGCTAACTGTGTGACACAGTTTAGCATGATTTAAACTGTCTACGTCACGAATTGTCAGCACCAGCAAGTAGTATATTTCGTGTGTATTTGCTACAAGAATAAAATGTATGAAAATACATTACGCTTTCTATTTACTTTCATGCATCATTATACCTTCATTATACTCACCTAATTTGCCGTTGCATTCGAATGTAACCAAACGTTCGATTCAAACCAACAACCGCCATGAATTCGAAAAATTATTGTGTGGCGCCCAGACGAAAGCTAGCCGATATAGCGAAACATTTCGTAAACGAGAAGGTGGGCATTGGGCAAAATTATGTGTGGCAGCCCATTGCAAAATTTCCTTGTAAACTTACAGCCGGCGAGTCTTCTCATATAATCCTCTTTACTGCTTTTCTCTTTCGTTTCTTTCCGATGCCACTGGTTCTGCCACCATTGTTTATCGTTTAGGTATCTAGCTTCTGACGCAGCCTGAAAGGGCGATCTCACAAACAGGTTTTGTTTTGGCAGAAAATTAAAAAAAACAACAAATAACATTCGCAGCTTTAATAATAAGTTTTCAAACATAATACACATGAACATATATTTATTTATTTTTC